ACAATCGTATAAATATTATCTTTATAGGTAAAAAATTTCAAATCGAAGGAGAATAATGTAAAAGAAGAAGAAAAAGACTAAAAGTGAACAAAAATGTGAACTTGGAGACTAAAATGTAGAAGTGCCGAAAGATGAAGAACCTTAGTTGCAATTTGTTGGGATATTATTGAAAAAAAAATCAAAATTTGAAGATAACATTTACAAGATAAAAGTTGAGGTACCTAGCGTGCAATTATCGAGGGCTAAAAATTAATCAAAACAATCATACTACATATATTTCAAGTTAGACAGCTTCTTTGACATCATGTGAGTTAGTAGATTTTTATATATTGATTTTAACAACACTTTTTTCAATTAGTGGCAGGATTTCTACACATAGACAGTCTGTCAAAAAAGCTATCATCCAAAAGTTTACAAGAGGATCCAAAAGTGAGAAAAAAAATCCATTCATCACGCAGTTAATTTAATACACATTAGGACAAGAAAAGGCAAAAGAGAGAGAGAAAAACTCGAAGAAAAGTGGAGATATTTTGAGGGAAAATCAAGACCAAGCTATTTCATATGAATTCAACCAAGGGATGGATCCTATCTATTGTCTTGCTAATCCTAGTCAATATGTCCAAGAAAACGATAGCGAAGTCATCTGACAATTCACATAAACATCCTTCAGCAAACATTGAGGCCTTCACCTGCATATGATCGCAAAAGGAAGCATTCAGTTGATAATCAAGAAAAAGAGGAGCCAATTAATGGGAGCATGGGAAGGCACGTATATATTCATTGGAGGAGCAATATAAATTATTATAGGGATAATTAAGAAAAAATAATATCAAAACAGTAGGATTTATTAAAATTAAAAATCCAAGGGAATGAAATTGGTTTTCTCTACCATATCTTCCCTTTTCCTCGATAATTCAAAATTCAGAAAAAGAAATTAATTACATACTCAAAGATCAACATGGAGTCGTGGTATGAATCCAGGGCCGACTCTGAAAATGTTGATGTCCTAGTCAATAAACTATTATGAGACTCCCTAAAAATAATTTTTTACAAGCGTAACAATCTCTTTAGCATCATCCATAATACATTCAAAAACAATTTTTCGTGATGAGGAACATTACCTAGAATCAATTTTCGTGCATTCAAGAAATAAAATACTAAGAGCTTCTGAAAATCAGTGAGATATAATGATGGTGACTACTATTTATTGTCCAAAATATCATTCATGTAAAAACTAGGAAAAACATTCAGAAAGTAGCAAAATAAAAATTGGACCATGCTACATGCACTACATGGGTTACTACATGCTTTACTACATGGCCAAGTGGCGGCCATGTATTGGAGCCTCGGTTGTGGG